TATGGACTTTCACTCACTTGGGCCAACTTGGATACAACCCCTACTGAGTGGCCAATCTGCCAGCAGCAGAGATGGACACTGAGTCTGTAATATGGAACCATTCCTTGGGGTGATCAGCCAGCAACCTGGTGGTAGGTTGATTACATCGGACCACTTCCATCCTGGAAACGGCAGCCTTTTGTTCTTACTGGAGTAGACACTTGCTCTGGATACAGATTTGGCTTCCCTGTATGCAATGCTTCTGCCAAAACTACCATCAGTGGATTTACAGAATGCCTTATCCTCCATCATGGTATCCCACACAGCATTGTCTCAGATCAGGAGACTGAATTCTCAGCAAATAAAGTGTGGCAATGGGCCTATGCTCATGGAATTCACTAGGTTTACCATGTTCTACATCATCCTGAACCAGGCTGCCTTGATAGAACATTTTAATGCCCTTCTAAAGATAAAATTGTACTACCAGCTAAGTGAGTATAACTTTCAGGGTTGGAACAATGTTCTCCAGGAGGCTGGATATGCTTGAAACCAGCTCCAATATCTGGTGCTGTTTCTCCAATAGCCAGGTGCGCTAGTTAACATTATGTGTCAACTTGGCTGGGCTTGGTTTTGAGTGGCTGGGCAGCTGGATGTAGTTTATTCCCCATGGTGAGATTGGTAATCAACTCCATGGTGGAATTTACCGGAGTAGCTGAATAGCTGTCTTAGGCATGTGGTCTGCTTCAAGGAGGTAAGAAGCAGCTTTGAAGAAGGTCTCTAGCTTTTGGCACACTTGAATCCTGTGTGTAGCCAAGTCATTGTTCAGCAGCCTGCCATGTTGTCTGCTGATCTTGGGGTTCTTATGGACTTGAATCAATGACCTACTGTGTGGTTTGGTAATATCAGGACTGTGCCTTTTTCCTTGTCGACCTTGGGTTTGTCAGCCTCAGCATCCAGGAGCTGTCTGGGTGAAGAAAACCTCCAACTTCAGTGGGCCAGGAGCAAGAGGCAGAGCTGAAGCCCAAGGTTGAGGGGCTTTCACCCAGCCCCTAAAGCCTGGCACTTTGAATTTGGACTTCTAGCCTTCTAAACTGTAAGAGAATAAGCTCTTTTTTGTTAAAGCCATCACATTTATGGTATAAATTCTGTTAGAGTGGCACCAGAGATAACCAAAACACCAGGATTCACAAGTCCGGGAACCAAAGGGTGGAAATGGGAGGGGCATTACTCACTATTACCCCTAGTGACCCACTCACAAAATTTTTCCTTCCTGTCCTGGCGACTCTATGCTCTGTGGATTTGGAAGTCGTAGTTCCCAAGGAAGGAATACTCCTTCCTGGAAACATAATACTGATTCCATTGAATTCAAAGTTAAAAATGCCACCCAGCTATTTCAGAGTATTCATGCCTCTGGATCAATAGGCAAAAGAAGGAATTAGTGTATTGGCTAGTGTGATCCTGATTACCAAGGGGAAAATTAGATTGAAATTACATAATGGAGGTAGAAAGTATGTCTGGAATCCAGGAGATTCCCAGGGCTGTCTCCTAGTACTACCATGCCTTGTGATTAAAGTCAATGGAAAACTATAGCAACCCAATTCTGATAGGAGTACTAATGGCCCAGATGCTTCAGGAATGATGGTTTACCTCACCCCATCAGGCATAGAAACATGACCAGCTGAAGTGCTTGCAGAGGGCAAAGAGACTATAGAAAGGATGGTAGAAGAAGGTAGTCCTAAAACCAGCTATGACCACATGACCAACTATAGAAATGGAGACTTATTATTATGAGTAATTCATCCTTGTATGTGTGTTTCAAATATTTTTGTTTTCTTCACCTATAAAATATAAGATTTGAATGAGAGCTCTGGTGGCATAGTTCCTAAGGCATTTGACTGCTAACCAGAAGGCTGGAGGTTCAAACCCACCAGCCAGTCCTCAGAAGGAAAGTTGGGCAATCTACTTTCGTAGTGATACTACCTTGGAAATCCAAGGAGGGGTCACTATAAATCAGATCCAGCTCCAGGGCAATGGTTGCATTTTGTTGCAGTGCAGTTTTGGTTGCATGTGTGTTAGTTGTATCATGTTAGGTGCAAATATGACTTTATAATTGTCTTTATTTAGAGATCACATATGTTTTAAGGAGATGTGTGCAGGGGCCAAATTGGCAAGGGGTGGACTATGATGGTTAAGGTTGTGTGTCAACTTGGCTGGACCATGATTCTCAGTGGTTAAGCCATTATGATGTCATCATCCCCATGATGAGCTCTAGTAAAAAGTAATCACCTCTGATTGATGAGATCTGCTATGAGCAGCCAGTCAGCTGAAAGGGAGTTGCCTCAGGGATGTGGCTTGCCTTCAATATATATGATGTTCTGGCAAAGTTCTCTGGCTTTTTGCTTGATCTAGATTCTGCATCTGGCTCGTCATCATCTGACCTCCAGCATTTGGGGCTTGAACCACTGTTCTGTCGTATTGGGTGCCAATCTTGAGATTGTTAGCCTTTGCAGCCTGTGGGTCAGCAGCCTACCTACTTACTTGCCCATTTTGGGGTTGTTAGACTCTGCAGTAAGCAGCCTGCCATATTGCCTGCCTATCTCAGGTTTGTCAGCCCTTGCAGCTATGTGAGTCAGGAGAAGTCTAGAGTCTGATATCTGGCCCATGAACTTGGGACTTGCCAGCCTCTGTAACCCTATGAGGCATTTCCTTGAGTTAAATAAATCTATGTGTGTGTGTCTGGTGGCATATGGCCTAAGGCATTTGACTGTGTGGTGGTTATGTTTTTGTGTCAACTTGGCTGGGCCTGGTTGAGTGGTTGGGCAGCTGGTGGTAGTTTTTCCCCATGATGAAACTGGCAATAAATTCCATGGTGGGATCTAGCACAAGCAGCTGAGTAGCTGCCTTTGGGATGTGGTCTGCTTCCTGTATATAAGGAGAAGCTTTGAGAATGGTCTCTAGCCTATGGCACGCTTGGACCCTGCATGTAGCTGTGTCTTTGTTGAGCAGCCTGCTATGCTCTGCTGACCTTGGGACCTACAATGGACTTGAATTAATGGCCTGCTGTGTGGTTTGGTAACATCGGAACTGCACCTTTTTACTTGTCAACCTTGGGGCTTCTCAGCCTCAGCAGCCAGCAGCTGTCTGAGTGAAGAAATGCCTCTAACTCCAGTGAGCCAGGAGCAAGAGGCAAAGCTGGACTCCACGGTTGAGGGGCTTTCACCCAGCCCCTAGAGCCTGGCACTTGAACTTGGACTTAAAGCCTCCAAATTGTAAGAATAAACTCCTGTTTGTTAAGGCCATCCCATTTGTGGTATATTTCTTGTCAGAGTGGCACTAGGTAACCAGAACAGACTGCTAACCAGAAGGCTGGTGGTTCAAACCTACCAGCCACTCCTCAGAAGGAAGACTGGGCAATCTACTTCCATAGTGATATTGCCTTGGAAACCCAAAAAGGGGTCTCTATGAGTCAGATTTGACACAACAGCAATGAGTTTGGTTTGGTTTGGTTTATGTGTGTGTGCATGGGTGTGCATGTGGGTGTGCTTTTGCTTTTCTTGAGAACTCCATTTAAGACACTAGTGTTCTAATCACAGAAACTTTCCATAGCACAGCAAATAGGTTCAGCTGAGATGGCTGCAAAATTAATCCTTTTTCTCTGTTGAATTCCATTACAAAACCAAGTCTGTGTTCTTGTAATAGAAACCATACTTATGAATAAGAATGTTTTAAGACAATTAAGATTTGGAAAAAGAAATTATCATTGTATTTTTAGATGTCTAGGTAGTATTCTGTGATAGCATTAGTTGGGACCAGAAGAGTTGTTTGTTTTATGAGTTTCATTATAGAAATTCTTTGGGAAGTTTATCAGTGAAGCATTGATGTTATGATAAAGTTATCCCATCCCTTGAAGTGCAGAAAATATTTACTGTATAGATTATACATTGCAATATTTTTTGTTATTGAATGTTACAATATTGAATTGATCAATCAGCTGGATGGTTTTGATCCTCGAGGCAATATTAAAGCGCTGATGACCACTAACAGACCTGATACTTTGGACCCAGCACTGATGAGACCAGGGAGGTTTGATAGAAAGATGATTGAATTTAGCTTCCCAGATCTAGAGGGTCAGACTCACATCTTTTAAGATTCATGCTCGTTCAATGAGTGTGGAAAGAGATATGAGATTTGAATTGTTAGCACAACTATGTCCAAATAGCACTGGTGCTGAAATTAGAAGTGTCTGCATAGAAGCTGGTATGTTTGTGATCAGAGCACAGCGAAAAATTGCCACTGAAAAGGATTTCTTGGAAGCTGTAAATAAGGTCATTAAGTCCTATGCCAAATTCGGTGTGCTACTCCTCGCTATATTACATACAACTGAGCCCTGAAGGCTTTCAAATGAAAACTTGTCTTTTAATTGGAATCTTAACCTTACATGGACTTGTTAAAAACCATTTCACATAAAAATAAATGGTTTCAAAATCGGTTTTTTTTTTTTTTTTACAAAAAAAAGAAAAGGCAATACATAAATTTTTTGTGTGCCCAGCAGCAAATCTTCTAAAAAGGCATGGACTGATTTCTAAGAGACAGAATATGCCATCTCTACTTTATGAGACCATTCCCCTGAGATTTACCTACACAGTACCATTTCAAATAAAAATAACACCCCCTTAAGTATCAAAAAAAAAAGAAATGTGAAATGCTGGCAATATGACATAAACTTCTCATTGTTGTTCACTAAGATAGGTTTATTTGTTATTTATAAATTATTTATTTTCTCCTAAAGTAATCACATAATTTCATGAAATGCAGAAACATTTTAGTTACAAAATAAAAGTAAATTTAGGGTCAGGAAATATATCAAAAACCTTAGCTTTTAATAAATTAATTGAGTGAGTGAAATGCAGCTGTGTCTTCTTTGTGAGTGGTGAATTACTGAAAAGCAACATTATAACATATTTGAAATCCATTCTTTATTTTTATAGCTCCAGTCAGCTTTTACAGCACAGGAGTTTTAGTTAGTAAGCAATGTTGATTTGAGTTGTGTCCATTGTTTTTTCTTCAATTATTTCATCAGCTTCATAGGATGCTTCATTAGTTGAATTTGATGATGCATTTGAATTGAGAGTTTTGGTTTTTCTATTTGACTTGCCTGCAAATACACACATACACAATGAAATAATTATTTGAAAATATGGCATAAAATTTTACCTTTTAAAGTTTGTGCTAAAAATAAAGTTAATTTTTTATAATGTTATTGAAAGTATGTCCTGAAAACACTATACGGCTGAGTAAGAACTGAGGCATTTCAAAGTTGTTTTTGAGCATTTCCTACTGAAAGTCAAATGAGGGAAATATGAATAACAGAAGTGAAAATGTAGCTTCCATCCTTACCTTTCTTTGTCCATGCTTTAAGAGAGGAATCTACACTTTTGATAAGAAGATAACAATTTCTCAAAAAAAAAAAAAAAAACAATCTTATTGCCGTTGAGTCGGATCTGACTCATAGCGACCACTCCTTGGGTTTCTGAGGCAGTATCCCTACGGAAGTAGATTGCCCAACCTTCCTTCCGAGGAGTGGCTGGTGGATTTGAACTGCCAGCCTTCTGGTTAGTCAAATGCCTTAGGCACTATGCCACCAGAGCTCCCTAATAATTTCTAGGTCACTTAATAATTATAATGTGATTATCTCCATACATAAAGTAAGTTACACTTAAGCCAATCACAATAATTTGCAACATTATTAAGTCTTTCCTATCATAATAATCAATTCAAATGTGATTTTAAAAAAATAAATAAAAACTGTGCCACTCTCTCCTTCATGCACTCTGCATAAATATGAGGTCAAAATCAATAAGGGCTAGAGGAATATATGTATCTTCACTCACCAGAAATTAGTCTGATACCAAGTTATCAAGTTAGTCTTACACCAAGGAAATGGGTTATTATTCAATGCATGGTGCTAGAAAAGTTGAGTAATTGTGGAAATAATTTCTTATATTTCACCAATATATAAAAATTCAAATATATTTAAATAACTTATATAAATAATAATAGAAGACTTCCGGTAAGATGGAGGAATAGGCAGACAAGCGACACACACCCTCTTCAACAAAGAAAAGAAAAACTAATTGACAGAGATACAGAAGATAATCCTGGAACCCTGAGCTTTGAAAGGAACTATACAGAAGTGGATTAGGCACCAACTAGTGGAAAAACCTGAATGAAAACAGTGAGTACAGAGACAGTTGGAGCTGTGGAATGTCAGCTACTCTGACGAGACCAACAGCCTGAATATTTCCAAGTGGTGTTGGGACCTGAGAATTGACTTAAAGATCAGTCCCGGTCACCAAGGGCTGCAGGGACAACTGCTCTGGTGGCCTGTGACTAGGAAGGGAAACAGCAAGGAGAGAGACAACCTGAGCTGTGGACTTTCTGCTGTCCAGAGAGTTGCAGACATTTTGATTGTTTACACATGGCAGCCATTTTAGATATTTAAAGTTACCGAGGGCACTGCAATTTTGAATCTTTACAAGTGGCAACCATTTTGGATTTTAAAGTGATAGCATTCTCATTTGGATTCCAGGGACCTAAGAACAGGTTCTGTTTGCCAGGGGCAGCAAGGACATATGAGAAGTTGGCAACAGGAAAGGAGACAGGTGGTGAGTGTATAAGTACTGTCAACTAGTGAATAGAGGAGCACAGCACAGCACTCTGCCTGTATAGATAACATACAAAGAAAAAAAAAATTGTGGGCAAGTCGCTCCAACATATAATCACCAATTAAATATAAACACAAAAACGTCACAATGCCTTGGAGACAAAAGAGCATCACAGTCCACACAAAGAAGCAAGATAAAGCAGGAGAAACAAGGGACCAGGATACAGACCCAAAACACATGCCTGAGGAAGATGCAGCATTGGAACTCCCTGATAAGGAATCCAAAAGAATTATATTTAGGTATCTTCAAAGGATTGAGAGCCAGACTAAGGAAAACACAGACAAAACTCTAGAAATATTTTGGAAGAAAATACAAGAATATGACAAAATAAATGAAAAATTAGAAATGATTCTAAACCTACAGATAGAAATCCAGAAGATTAATACTAAATTGTCAGAAATAGATAACACATTGAAAGGGCAAAGGAGTAGAATTGATGCAATGTAAGACAGAATTAATGAGATTAAAGACAAATACCTGAATACTTCTTTGGAAAGGGATCAATCAGAAAAAAGATCAAAACAAAATGAAGAAAACCTAAGGTTCATGTGGGATATCATCAAAAGGAATAACCTACGTGTCATTGGAATTCTGGAACAGGAAGAGAAAGATAAGACCACTGAGAAAATTGTCGAAGATTTGTTGGAGGAGAACTTCCCTGATAAGATGAAAGATGAGACTATATCCATTTAGGAAGTCCAACGAACCCCAAACAGGAAAAACAACAGAAGAAACCACAGATGTTACTAATGACCTCTATGTTGTAAAATCCACAGTCCAGTTCTACATTTTACTTACCAGCATCATTTCATCCAATTCTTTCCTTTTCTCCCTCCTAACCTCACCATGGCTCCTTCTCTTATAAGTTCCTTTTCTTTTCTAAGATATCACGGACCTGGGAGTGCCTCAGGGCTCAGCTCATAGTTCCTATTCCTGTCTCACTCCATAAATAGTGTCATCAGTCTCACAGTTTTTAATACCATCTCCATGCTGATGACTCCCAGATATCTCTAGCCCAATCTTCTCCTAAATTTCAGACTCAACTGCTTAGTCAGCATCTCCACTCAGACATATAGTAAATATCTCCAGCTTACATCAAAACTGAAATTCAGATAATTCCCCATTAAAAAAAAAAAAGCCTAACACATATTTTTGCATATTTCATGCACATTCATATAACACACATAGTACACAAAGGAGACTAATGTGTGAGGGGTTGCATGGTTTGCAAAAAACCTAATGTGTGCATTATTTGCATGAAAATACAGAATTCCCAGTCTTGCTCAATTGATGGCCAATCCATGTCCCCAGTTGTTCAGGCCAAAGGCCTGACTCACCCTTGGTTCCTCTCTTTTCTCTCCCCCTTCACATCCAATCTTTTAAAGTACATCCAGAATCAAAAGCTTCAGACCACCTTCACTGCTACCAATCGAGTATCTCACCTAAATTATTGAATTGCCTCTCAACTGGCTCTGCATCTATCCTTGTTTTCCTATGTTCTATTTTTCAGCACAATACTCAGCGTGATCCCTTAAAACACAAGCCAAATTATGTCCTCTGGTTAGAATCTCCCATTTCACGCAAGTCTTTACAGTGGTCTATGTGATCTCATAGACACCCACACACATCATTATCCCCCTGACTTCGTCTTTTTCTATTGTTCACTCTGACTGACCTGTTCAAATATTTCAGGCACACTGCAGCCTTCTCATGGCCTATTCACTCTGTCTAGTATGCTCTTCTCCCAGATAATTTTACCATAACTCCCCCATCTCCAAGTAATTGCTTAAAAGTCATCTTTTCAATGAGACCTACCCTTAAACATTCTATTTAAAACTATTAGGTACCCTCGAGTCAGCTCTGACTCATGACGAACACATGCACAACAAAACGAAACACTGCCCATGTGCACCATCCTTATGATCCTTGCTATGCTTAAGCCCATCGTTGCAGCCACTGTGTCAATCTATTTCATTAAGGGTCTTCCCCTTTTTCACTGATCCTCTACTTTACCAAGCATGATATCCTTCTCCAGAAACTGGTCCCTTCAGACAACATGACCAAATCAGTTGAGACAAAGTCGGGCCATTCTCACTTCTAAGGAGCATTCCAGCTGCACTTCTTCTGATGCAGATTTGTTAGTTCTTCTTGTAGTCCATCTCTCAATTAGGTACTGATGAAAACTAATCTTTCATGGCCAAGAGTGTGGGGTGATGGGAACTTTCATATATTTCCTAGGGGGAGTGTAAATGGATACAACTTTTTAAAAGAAGTTTTGTGTTCTTACTCAGTAATTCTACTTAACAGGAAGTTCCCAAGGTAATCACTGGTGATGAGATCTAAAATTTGTATACAAAGTTGTCACTGGTTATTTTCAATACCAAAACAAAAAGTACCTTGTATTTCCAATGATAGGGTAATGGCTAAATAAATGATCATGCATGATGTACCATGCATACATTTTTAAAAAAGGTGATTTCCAATCAATTTTTAATGACATGGAAGTTGTTTACAACACAATTCTATGTGAAAAAGGATACAAAACTATGAATAGAATAATAAAAGTTAATACTTATCCAGTACTTGCTGTCAGCCTCTCTTAGCTTAAGACTTTTGAAGATCAAATTTGAACTTCTTGATTAGGCTCAGGCTCTGGCGTGGCTTCCCTCTCCTGGCCCAGTTATCCTTATCACCTTTCTTACATTTGGCATTTCAGACACATAGAAATACTGATCTTTTCCCCAAAGTTTTTCTCTCTCTTTGTGTGTGTGTGTGTCTTACTCACTCACCTTTGCACACACTCCTCCAGCCTTACTCTCCAACCTCCTTTTTTTAGAAAATTCTTGTCCTTCAGGTTTCAGAAAATCTACCCCAAATGGGAAGTCCATTGGCAAAGATTTCCTTTCCACTATTAGAAATAGCTACTCCCTCTTCTTTTGTCTATCTAGTGTATCTTCTTAATACCAATTTTTAATTATTTTCTTTAGCAAAGTCTAAACCTTGTTGTTAAGTATGTTAAAACTGTCTGGCTTTGCTCATGTGTAAGTAACCACCTTCTAGGACCAGTCAGGACATACACATACCCCACTTCACTATGGGTTGATTTCACAGCTGAACACTCAAAGGTCAACATTATTTCCAAGTTTTGGAGGATGATGTCTCACTGCAGCTCCCAGATAGGGTACATAAGAAATGAAACTTGTGTGATATTAATCTCTGGCTTAACATTAGTTTTTAATTTGGAAATCGAAGGCCTACATTTGGTACAGTATTTGGTTCTATTTCATTACTTTTCTTCTGAACATTTTTGGTGCTAAAATAAATTGCTTAAGATGTACTTCCAAACATCAATCATATTAATATTTCAAGAATACAAGTTGATTTTTAAAAGTGAATTTGTTGTAGGTATATTTACCACCTTGGCAAAAGA